CCCCGCCTTTCAACAAGTTTGATTTTAGTGTTTATGTTGTGGAAGAACCTTAGACTTTTATATCTACAAAAGGTCATCACCAGATGTCATAGATGGCTAGACTGAAGCACAAAGATGTTCAGTTCTGTTCATGGTGTGTGGCTGTGAGGACTGGCCTGGATCTCAGCTGTCTTCTCAGTCTCCATCTCATGGGGGCTTCCGGAAATTCTTTGGGGGAGCTTCTGTGACTGACTCCATGAGAGTATGAGTTTTGCTGAACCTGGTGAACCAGTTCAGAGATTTTCATCTTATCTTTTACTGAAAGCTGTGTGTGGCAGGGCCATTGCTTTTCTCTCAAATGAGGAATGAAAGTTGTTTCTTCCGGGGAAGTTTATCTACCTCGGATTTTTTCTTTGTTGCAGTGCTGGGACTTGAACCCAGGGTCAGTGAACTCATGTTCATGCTAAGCAAGTACTTAACAACTCAGCTACATTCCCATTCCCTAAATGCTGTTCTCCTTTCTCTGATATTGCTGTATAAAACTATAGATAGAGCCAGGTGGTGGTGGTGCACTCCTTTATCCCAGCACTCAGGAGTTCAAGGCCGGCCTGGTCTACAAGAGCTAGTTCCAGGACAGGCTCCAAAGCTACAGAGAAACCCTGTTTCGGGGGGAAAAAAAAAAAAAAAAAAAAAAAAAAAAAAAAAAAAAAAAAAAAAAAAAAAAAAAAAAAAAAAAAAACCCATAGATAAAGTCATTATTTGGATTCCCCCAAAGAGGCTGTGGACTCATGCTTGAGAAAGTGCTTTAGAATGGGGCTGGGCTAAGGTAAAGTTACAGTGAAATCCAACTTGGTTATTTTTGAGGTAGGGTCTCAGTGTAGCCCAAGCTGACCTTGCTGACCTTGAACTTAAAACAATTCCCCAACCTCAACCTCCCAAATGCTGAGGTTACAGGTATGAATCACAATGTCTGGCTTAACATCTTGAATTAACCTAGTTTTGAGACTTCACGTAAGAGCAATTTACTAATTTGTTACCAATTAATGCATAAAAGGAAAAAACTGGCCTTAAACTAGCTTGTTACTCAGATAATTAATTGTATTTTTAAAAATTACGTATCTTTTTAACAGGTGGGGAAAAGTGGCAATGTCCCAGCAGGCACTACAGTGGATAGTACCGTCACACATCCATCGGAGTTTGACTTTTACCTCTGTAGTCATGCAGGAATTCAGGTAATTTGGAAGCTGACCTGTTAGGGAGCTATTTGCCAGTTCAGCAGCCAGCTTGAGGAGATTTGTCATTAGCTGTGTTAACTGCTCTGCTCCAGAGATCTACTTGTAGGTGTGTGAGGCAGAGATATTGTTGAGCTTAATAATTAGATCTCAGTTCCTCTTTTCTCCTAACTAGCCAAGTCCTAACACTCTCCCTTCAGGGAACCAGCCGTCCTTCACATTACCAGGTCTTGTGGGATGACAACTGCTTCACTGCAGATGAACTTCAGCTGCTGACTTACCAGCTCTGTCACACCTACGTGAGGTGCACGCGCTCAGTCTCCATTCCTGCCCCTGCATATTATGCGCGGCTGGTAGCATTTCGGGCAAGGTATCATTTGGTGGATAAAGATCATGACAGGCAAGTTCATCAGTAAAACTCTCTTCCTGTTGTGGAAGCATGTTCTAAAAAACAAGCTATGCAGAAAGCTCTTGAAGATTTATATGTCCTTTTAAGGTTTAACCTACAAGGAACAATCAAAACTGTACAAGAATTTGAGAGCTTTTCATGTGACTTTTGGTCCAAGAAGAGCTTAGGCTTGTTTAAACTTGTGTTTCTAACAGAGTCTCCTTAGGAGCTGCCTGTGGTTTTCACATAGAACTAACTGCATTTCAGTTCTGCTGAGGTCCCAGGCAGCCTCCAAAGGTGGCCAGCATAGCACCCTGGTTCCAGTCAGAGTAGTCACAGCCTATGGACTCCAATTCATGCATGAGGGAGTCCCACATAGTTCATTTTGCTTCCAGTACAATCCAGAAATGACCAGAGTATGCCAGGGCTTATGGGAAAACAGAAGGGGTGAGTATCCTCATTCCCAGATAGAGATCTCAAAGGACTCAGACATTTGGCTTGTTACTGAGCTACCAATAAATGGCTAAAGGAGCTCTTTGCATTAATTTTCTTTCCCAAATGACAGTCTGTGAAGTATAGCAGTTTCTGGGCTCTTCCCCATCCAGTTGCTAAATAGTAGACATTCCATTGCAAGTCTATTCTATAAGGGATTGAAAATACACTATTACAGAAAACACCCAGCTGTGTCTTTGTACTTTGCATTCACAAATATGCATACATTTATTTAAAACATTTATTTGGTACTGTGTGCCAGTACTGTGCTAGGTACTAGAAAATACCAAATTAGTAAGCCTTGTTTCTTGCCTGCAGGTATTTTATGTTTCAGTACGAAGATCTACAAGTGAATAGAAAACTGACAACTGGTCTAACAGTATAGATAGCTTCAGTGGGAGATCAGAGGAAAGGCTGGTAGGGATTTTAGAGCTGGGTGAGCAGGGCTTACCTGTACAAAGGAAAGGCTTTTCCAGGCAGAGAGGACGTGGACATAAAGGGAAGAGGACAAGTGGCATTTTGTGCAAGAGTAAGTTTTCTGTGACTGGAGCATATTGGAAGGGAACAGCAGGCACAGGGCAGAAAACTGTGTTAGAATAAGATTGTCCTTGTTAAATGTAAAAAGCTGTTCCTGGGATAGAATAGTGCGGGCAGGAGAGGAAAGGATGAAATCAAAGGTGATTAGATAATAATCATCATTTAAAGAGAGGTCAGAGGTCGAGGTGTGACTCAGTGGTGGGTGTTGTGCTTAGTATACATGAAGCCCTAGATTGAATCCTCAGCACTGAGAAAGGGATGGTTTGCCAAACTCCTATGTTACATAATAACCCGAAGATGAATGTCTAAAGTTGTGAACACTCTGATAGGCATAGACTCATTAATTTAGGAATCTAGTATTAGCAAGTAAAAACAAAGTTAAGCCAGGCATGGAGGTGCATGCCTTGGAGGATCTCTATGAGTTTGAGGACAGTGGAGCCTTCATTGTAAGATCCTGTCTCAGAAGAGGAAGAAGAAGGAGGAAGGGGGGGGGGGGAGAGAAGAATGCTCTTTTCTTGGAGATTTTATTGCAGTGGAGAAAAAAATACCCAATAGTACCTAGTAATGTCCCAATTGACAATTTCATGTTGGTTGTGTCTAGTACTATAAAAGGAAACCACAACTGTCTATAAAAATATTCTAGGTGACCCTGACCTGAACTTGGGAGTCAGGGAAGACTCTAAGAGGGAAATGACTTGTAATTGAGGCCTGAAGGATGAGTAGGAACGAAGTAGACAGAAGGGACAGTAGAAGTCCTTATGTAGGTGCTATTAAACACTTGGTTTTTGTGAACATCGTTTTATTTAATTATTGCAACCATCCATTAAATAAGTCGTAGTATTTGAACAAGCATGTGTAAGAAAACATGAATCGTTTGAGTCGCCCAGCCTGAGCTCAAGATGTTCTTGAACCCAGTACTATGTGTGCTACCTGAAACACTGAAGTTGAATGCTGTCTTCTCTTAACACCTGGTTTTTGTTTTGTTCTCATTATAGTGCGGAAGGCAGTCACGTGTCAGGACAGAGCAATGGCCGGGACCCTCAGGCTTTGGCTAAGGCTGTGCAGATCCACCACGATACCCAGCACACTATGTATTTTGCCTGAGAGTCTTGGAAAAGAACTCAACCAATTTGGCATCCCACGCATCCTCAAATGTTTCAGATGCCTACTGCCTCTAGATAGTGCCACGTTGATTTCAGGTGGTCCCCTACCAGCAGCTCGGAACAGTTAGTTGCACTGAATCTGTACTTTGCAGCCCTGTCTGATGCATCAACAAAATTGAGCCATTTTTTAAAGAAAAAAAAAAAGAAATAGAAACTCATAGATTATGCTTTCTGATGCACTGGACAAAAATTTTACCTCAGCGTGCAAAGGCTGATCAGCCTTGACTTTCTAAAGGACTTGTTTTCAAAGGAGGGTCTCTGTGGGATATTTTGCTAGCTGTGGTATTCACCGCATCTAGTCTTATAAGAGGAGTATTTCCTTTTTCCTTGTTCATTGAGTGGGGTGTATGCATAAGTGGGAGAGAAAAACCAAACGACCTGTTTCATTTCCATGCAACTTTTTAATTGGGTGGGCCCATAGACTTTTTAATGGAGATTTCTGACTTCGCCACTGTAAATGCCTTTAAGGAGCATTAATTTTTGAAAGTTTTACAGAATTTTATTACTTTCACTGCTTTATCTTACTGATCTCTTTGGGCCTGTGCTGTGGAGTGCAGGCTGCCTGGCAATTGCACTATATTTGGCTGCAGATTCAAGCAGGCAGTTCTCTTACGTGTCTGGCTTTGTGAATGTGTGACATAATCAAGTGTGATGCGTGTCACAGGGACAGATAGCACTGCCGTGGTCAAAAGTAAAAAGTTCTCCCTATTTGGAAAAAAATTAGCTTTTAATACGTTTCTAAGTTTTTTAAAGTGCCCATTTTATGCTGCTATGTGGTTTGTTAGATCTAAATGATTTTTAAACTTCTCTCATAGAAAGTTAACTTTGGCAATAAGCATTTTTAAGGCCCCTGCCCTTTCTCCCCCAACAAGGTAGTTTTATAGATGAAATTTTGGTATGATTTTATCAACTATTTCTTAATATATCATAACCTGGATATTCTGAAACCAGTCAGTCGATAAAGACATATATTTCCACGCCCTTTAAAATAATTGTTTGGTTTTTTAAACCTATTTTATAGTCATAGTCTGTGACCTGTCACCTTTTTTTTCTTTTAAAATGAGCTGGAACCAGGATGCTTCCTGATTAGCCAGGCTTTGCCAATGTATAAGGCACATTGAGTGATGCTGGACTTTAAAAAAAAAGTACCAGCATGTAAAAAGCTTGTTTTCCCTGGGAATTAAGGCTGTGCACACAGCTGCTTACAGTACAGTTCTGTTTGCGCTTCTCTCAGCCTGAAATGTGCTTGGTGGCTTTGCCTTCCTCTTTTTCAGCTAAAACTGTGTGGAAGAAGTTGATTTTCCCCCTTTTTCTGTAGAGTCTGGATTCCCTCACAGGAAGACAGGACTCCTTTTCTTGTCCAGCAAAGGGAGTTGGTACAAAGCAAGCATCAATTAGAAACTAGGGGAAATGGATTCTGTATTTAATGTAGATAATACTTTGTAAAGGACAAGCGTTACATAGTCTAGGTAGTTCCACCCAGGGTTTCCCAGCCCACATTTTACTCTGTCCCCAAAGGGCAAGGGGTGAAAGGTAAGAGGCTCCCTGAAGAGCCACACTCCTTGAGCTGAGGAAGGAGCTGGGAAGAGACAAACACAATATACTGAAAACAATTTTGTTGTCTCTATCTAGAAACCATTGGTGGGAAACACTGGATCAGATGGTGAAGGGTGTTTGTTTGAACTCATTGATTCAAGATCCAAATCTGTTAAACTAGCCTTCTCAAAATCCCAGCAATACAAAGCACTGGTCTCCTTCAGTCTTTTCAGCAAGCTTGTAAATACATTAATGTTTACATTTCCGTGTGCTGTTGCTCAGCAGTGCCACCAGCGTTAGCTGAACTGGTCTCTGAGAGAGTTTTTAAATGCCCATCGAGTACTTTAGCTCGTGAGGATGAGTGTAGACATCCTTAATCTCTGCAGACAGTGGGGAAAAACAAGTCCTGTGGCTGAAGCACAACGAAGGCAGGAGTGAAGAGACGGCTGATACTATTTTTTCTTTTTTCTTTTTCTTTTTTTTTTTTTTTTTTGCGAATACCTCACTTGGATAATACAAATCTGGACATGTTGATCAATGGCTGGCTGCCCCTTTTATTCACACTCATTCAGGGAGAGCACAGAAAATACTCTTCAGCACAGCCACTCTGGATCCAAGAGGAGGAAAAAAAATGGGAGCTTTTTAGGAGAATGAGGACTCACCTGGAGCCTGTGGCATGAAGAACTCTTGATGGCTGGCTAGCTGGCTGGCCGGCCAGCAGGCACCACACCTGCACTTACTTGAGTGCCGCAGGCTCACTGGTTAACAATGCACAGAAGAAAGTCTTGCCATCTTCCTGCATGATGGAACAGGAAGCAAGCTGGGTGCCCAGAAGCCCTGATCCATCTGCCTGCAGTTGGGTTCCATGCTTGACCTTGAACAAAATATCGGAAACACCTCAATCTGTCCTAGTATGCTGTGGCCTATTAGTGTGGTGGTGGAAAAAAGGCCAGGAGGCCAGTTTTTGTAGGAAAACAGTACCATTAAGGGTGTGATGCTGTTGTTTTGGACAAATGGAAAGAAATATGGAAGAATTAGGATTGTTGGGGAAAAGCTTGCCGAGGGGTGAATAGTTAAGAGGTGACCCCTGCAGAATCAGAACTGCAGTAATACTGTCGCAAGCAAATCTGAATGCATAGTTTTAATTTAATTAGGGTTGACAATTCAAATAGTTCTCCCCTCGAAACTGACTGAATCGTTATGCATGTGTCAATCAATGGGAGGTGTGCATTCTCTAGAAGTAGTGTTAGCTGTCTGGTTTTCTTAAACGCAGCCTATTTAGGCACTGTCATGTAGTGTGAAAGATTGCAGTATGGCAACGCTGAAGAATAACAGTTTGGGGCTAGGGAGCACAGGACTTTAAGAGTGGGGAAGACCCAAATGTTGAAATAATTATGTTTTGTTGTTGTTGTTAGTTGTTGAGTCCTGAGCCGTTTATGAAGTGAACCAGCTGGCTTAATGAAGCTAGCGTTCTGGGCAGGCAAACCACATTCACTCCTACTGTAAATTCTATATGCTGCTTCCAAAGGTGATGACTTACAAGCAGGCATGTTCTGTATGGCCTGTATTTTAGCATCTGGTGCCCGATCTATATCCATGCCCTTACCCACCTGACTCAGCTGCCTATTCCTTCCCCTGGGAAAAGATAATCCACTGTTTTAGCAAGGCTCACCCTCTCTACCCTAGTCACCCTCTGTGGATATATTATACGATTCTCTTGCTCATTAGCAAGGTGGCAGCTCAGCTTTCATTTTAAGAAAGTGGAGGTTAAGGGCATTGTATTAATATTGCTTCAACTCCAAGAAATTTTTCTTGTAAAATTAAAGGAAAGATCTTTATTGGCCAACCGTTTTCTTTTCCCTTGTTATTGACAGATTCATGTTTTTTTCTGTGTCTACTGGCTGAAAATGTTTGTTTGTTCATCTGACTAACGGTGTGGTTTTTTGTTTCTCTATGGTTAGACTTGTAATGTTTTAAAATGTATTTTTATTAATTTGGACTGGATGTCTGTCTCTAGCAATACGAGGTACTTTCTAAGCTATTAAGGAAGGGTTTGTATCCCTGTGTGAAATAAGGTGATGGTTGTTTAAAAAATTTTTTTTGGCCTGCAGGGATATTTTGTGTTCATGTGTCCAAAAAGATGGGTAGGGGGGTGGGTGGGAGAGATAAATTGGCATTCTTGTGCTAAAAGTTGTTTTTCTTGTCAATTGTGTAATAAATATGGAATATATTGTAATGGCATCATACATGGCTACTTTTAAAAAACAATTTCATCTATTTGAGAAATTGGACAAAGAAGAGAAATGAAACAACTGTGTTTAATTCTGGGTCTCCCTATGTTTAGGAATTGCCATTTGGGAGTTTTTGAAGGGTTCCCAGCACCACTTCATATATGGAAACTTTGACAAGATTCATCAGGGTTCTAGTACTGCTCTCTATGGGAAGGGACGCTCTGATTAAGTGATATTTTAAGGAAACTGGTGAGGTGTGGTGGCTCGCTCCAATAATTCCAGAAGTTGGGAGGCTGAAGCAGGAACATTATTACGATTCTGAGTCCATCCTGGGCTTTAGAGTGGGACCCTGTGTATTAACTACTTTTCTCTTGATGGATAAAACATGACCAAAAATGGCCTACGGAAGAAGTGGTTTTTTCCTTTGCTTATGGTTCTAGAGGGAGAGTCCACAATGGCATGCAAACGTGGCAGCAGGCAACCTCAGCAAGAAGCTGAGAAATCACGTCTTCAACCACAAGCTTGAAGAAGAAAGTGATCTGGAAATGAGGCAAGGCTGTAAACTCTCAAAACCTGCTTCCAGGGATGAATTTCATCCAGCAAGCCTGCCCTTGCATAGCCTCCCTAAATAGCGCCACCAACTGGGAGCCAGGAGTCCATATGCTTGAACCTGTTGGGGACATTTTTCAGTCAAACCATTATACTGTGTCTCAAAGACAAGCAAACAAACAAAAACAAAAGATCCAAGAAGACAGTATGGCTTATATTTATGACTTAAGTTCTCTAAAGCTTCCCAAATTCACACAAAAACAGGGTTTCCAGTCTCTTGTCTTGTTTGGTTTGGGGGCAAAGTCTCCCTGTGTAGGCCAGACTGGTCTTAAACTCTTACTCCTGCCGTCGTAAGAACTCCAAGATTACTAACATGAGCTAACATGCCCAGCTCATGACCTCTAAAACTTAAAAATAAACCTTTTGCTGAGTTATGATAGTAATGCAGAATTTGCCCAATCTGAACTTTATTCTTGGGGACTTTCATTCATCAGGAGAGAAAGTCCTGCATACAAACAATTTCTGTGAAGGTGGCTTCTGGTTTTCCGCCGGCACAGTTTGTCCTGTGCCAGCTATCAGAATGCATCACAAATGAAGTGCCTACAATCTCCACCTCGATACTCAGGACATGGAAGAGTTAACAACAGCTTCCTCAAATAGTTCATTCTGAATTTGAAGAGGGCTCAGTGAGTAAAGTGCCCACCATACAAGTCTGAGGACCAGAGTTCAGATCCCCAGAACCCACATGAAAGCCAGGTGGACATGGAAGCTTGCCTGTAATTCAGCAATTGGAAGATGGAGACAGGAGCTGGAGAGATGGCTCAGTGGTTAAGAGGATCCAGGTTCAACTCCTAGCACCCACAATGGCAGTTAGCTACTGAGTATAACTCCAAGATCTGATACCCTCACACAGACTTACATATAAGCAAAACAACAATGCATATAAAATAAAAATTATTTTTTAGAAAAAGAAGATGAAGACAAAGTCCAGGGAGCAAGCTGGTTAGCTAGACTATCCACATTGGTGGCCATTTTGAAACCCTGCCTCAATAAAGTAGAGAGTAATGGATAATCCTAATGTTAGCCTCAGGCCTCCACATAACATATGAGTGCACATGCCTACACACATGTGCACCCATACATATGTGAACATGCATACACACATCACAGATGCATGCACAATTGATTCTAACAGGGCATGTGGTGGAGGAAGAGGCAACGTAGCTAACATATGAATGCCCACTCGTCAGGGGCTTAACAGGGACATCTTTAATATTAGCAACAGCTCTTGGAGGTTGAGAGTGGAATCTTCATTTTTCAAGAAAAAAAAAGAGCTTGGGGGATATAGTTCCTTTATGCAATGTATGCATATGGCCATGGGTTCAGTCACTAGCATGGCACAAATAAAACCAGCCAATCAGCTGAGAGGTTAAATATACAATTACTGAGTGGCAAAGCTATAATCTAAGTGTATGCTTTTATTAACTTCATTTCACCGACTTTTGAGCATAAAATGACAGATGCTGCTCCAAACAAAGAATTTGCCATGGGAGTCAAGAAAGGCTTCACAGTTTTAGCGGCTGGGACAGATCATAAAGCACAAGCAAGCTGAGGAAGGAGGTGAGGAGACTCTAGGCACACTGCTCCCTCATAGCAGGTTAGAGAAGCTATAATTGTCTGAATATGGTTTCTTACTCCTCTTCTGGGAGGCAGAATCCCTTTGTTATATGGGAACTGATGAGTTAGCTGTCTTATAAAGAACAGTTTTATGAGGCAGGAGGATCACTGTCATTTTAAAGCCCAACCTGGTCTGTACAACAAGTTCTAGTCCGGCCTGAGCTATCACAGCAAGACCCTTCATGTAAACGAAGTGACAGAGAACTACTCAGCCATGAAAAAAAAAATGGTTGAGGGCTCAGTGATTAAGAGCATTGACTGCTCTTTCAGAAAAATCCAGATTCTATTCCCAGCACCCTTAAGGCAGCTCACAGTTATTTGTAACTCCAGTTCTAAGGGATCCTTTGCTCTCTTCTGTCCCCTGTGGGCACTAGACATACACTTGGTGCACTGACATACATGCAGACAAAAATACCCATACACATAAAAATTTTAATATTTTTTTAAATGGCTAAAATCCTGTCTTGTTGGTAACATGGATGAATGTGATGGTTGATATGTTAAAGAAGCCAGGCATAGAACAGCAAGCCCTGCATGATCTCACCTATGTGCAGAAAGTAAAATAGTTGGTTTCTTTGAAGTAGAGGGGATGGGCCAGAGAGGTGGCTCAGTGGTTAAGAGCACTAGACTGCTCTTCCTGAGGTTCTGAGTTTATTTCCCAGCAACCATATGGTGGCTCACAACCATCTGTAATGGGATCAGATTCCTTCTTCTGGTGTGCATGAAGACAGAACACTCATATACATAATAGTGTATATGAATAAATAAATGTTTTGAAAAAAGAAGTAGCGTGGAATGGTGGTTACTAGGAGCAAGTTAGGTGAGCACCACAGGATACAGAGTTTCGGGTGAATAGAATTAGCACAGGAGCTCTATTGAACAGCTTGGTGAATGTTGGTTTATTTCTTGAAAATCACTAAGAAAGCCAACCTTTAAGTATTCTTACCACAAAATTCTGAAAGCCAGAAGAGGGCTCCAAAATCCCTTGAAGCTGGAGTTACAGGGTGGGTTGTGAGATGCTTACTGTGGATTCTGGGAATGGAAGTCCGGTCCTCTGCAAGAGCAGTGTAGACTCTAACCAGCTCAACCACCCCACCCCCTCTACTTCTCCCCCATCACCTTTTTACCGTAATGCAGACGGTTGAACTCAGGACCTCCTTCATGCTAGGCAACCACTGTATCACCTAGCTCTTAACCTCA